GTGCAAAGGCTCAATTGGCTAATCCTCCACTGCCAAGTGCTAGGATCCCATATGGGCACCAGTTTGTATCCCAGTGCCCTGCTTCCCATCTAGCTCCCTGCCTGTGGCCCGGGAAAGCAGTCTAGGACAGCCCAAAGCCTTGGGACCCTGCACCCACATGGGAGACCCAGAAGAGGCTCCTGGCTCCTGGCTTCAGATCAGCTCATCTCCAGGTGTTGTGGCCACTTGGGGAGTGAAGCAGCAGATGGAAGATCTTTTTCTCTGTCTCTCCTTCTCTCTGTATATCTGCGTTTCCAATAAAAACAAATAATTCTAAAAAAAAAAAAAACTATTGTGCTGCAATGAGCTAAGTTGCTGCCATGATGTTGGCATCCTGGATGGCAGCAGAGCTTTAAGTCCTGGCTGTTGTGCTTCTGATCCTAATCCCTCGTAATGCACCTGTACAAGCAGTGCAAATTGACTCAGGTGCTCGGGCCTCCAGGACCAACATAAGAGACGCAGATGGAGCTATGAGGTCTGGGCATTGGCCTAGCCATGGATGTTGTCATCTGTGATTGTGACGTTGGAATTCCAGTGAATCTTCCCCTCTCCCTGTCTCTCCCACTCTCTATGTCACTCTGCCTTTCAAATGCATAAATACCTCTTATAAAAAACATTAAAACTTGTCACATGATCATCAATAGGACAGAGGCCGGCAATGTCATTCTCATCACCCTCCTCATTATGTTCTGTGACGTCACCTGAGTCATTTCTAGTCTATCATTTTCTCAGATTGTTGCTTTCTCTGATGCCAGTGAGTCACACCAGGTATATCTATAACCAGACTTCAGGATGATATATTAATAAGTCATGTGAAAAGAAAGGTTTTTGCTTATGGGTGCCCCATACTGTGAAAAGTGTTCTGGAACATTGGAAAAGATGACTGAGCAGAAGACACCTGTGTGCACCCAGACCTTTTCCCTTGACTACAATACCCTAGGATCGGAGCATCTTGCTCCTTTCACTGAATAGTCACCCAGCATATATACAGTACAGTCTCTTCTAGGCATTTGGACAAAATAGTGAGTGGGACACAGAAAACAGCAAAAAAAAAATTTAAAAAAAATACTCCCTAAAGGAGCTTCAGTTCCAGTGAATACTGGCACAAGAAACAGAACTAGAAATCACCTAGCATTTAACATAGGGGCAAGTGAGAACCACCATGGCTCAGGGATGCGGCAAGGCCCCGGAACTAGTGGAAGAGTTTCGAACCGACCTGTAGTCTAGGCCTTCTGCTGCCTAGCCTTTCCACTGTACCTTCTAGACCTGGCCTCCACTTGAATGAGTGATATCACCTGCGCAGCCACAGGCAAGGCGGTAGTTGGCCCTTGCAATTACTGAAACAAGATGCATGGGATGGGGCCCTGACTGGGTGGAGCAGCCTCCGATAGCTGTGGGTATTGAGGTAGGGCTTGCTGCAGCTGTGTGTGTGGGCACATGGGCACGTGAGGCTTTACCATCTGGGTTCTACAGGTCAGCAGACAGCTTCACAGCCAGCCCAAACCACTGCATCAGCATCCCATAGGGGCACCGATTTGGGTCTCAGCTGCTCCACTTCCAACACAGCTCCTTGCAGACACCTGAGAAGAGCAGAGGACCATGGCCAAGTACTCGGGCTCCTGCCACCCACGTGTGAAATCTGGATGAGGTTTGGGACTCCTGGCTTTGGCCTCACCCTGTCCTGGCCATTGAGACCATTTGAGGAGTGAACCAGTGGATGGAAGATCTTTGTCTCTCCCTCTGTAAATCCACCTTTCAAATAAATAAATCTTTAAAAAAAATTTTAAAGACACAATGGAATTAAAGGCAAAGACGATCACATTATGACACTGCCCTCCAGTTGAGCACTTATTTTATTTTCATGTGTGTTACTGTTAATCCCCACAATGTCCAAGGTGGATCCAAGTACTAGGCTCAATTTGAAAATGGAGAAAGTGGGACACAGAAGTCACTTGCCTGAGTCACACTGCTGCCAAGTATCTGATGTGGGGCCACACAGGTGCGCTGGCTGCTCTTCCCCAGCAGGCATGACTGCACACTGTTAGATGGTGCGCTTCGGTCTTTGGAACTCCTTTTGCAGGCCAAGGCCCTGGTTAGTGCTGCAAAGCACCTGCGGGATTCCAATGCTCAGCATAAAGAGCCGCTCAGCATGGCCATGCTATCCACGTGCTCCGCAATGCCTCAGTGTGGCCCTGTAGACCTCGGGCAAGGGTGAGGAAGCAGTTGACTAGGCAGTGCCCGCTAGCCCAGTCCTGTCCCAGGTTTGAATCAGACTGTAAGTTCTAGGGCGAGACAGCTGCTGCTTCCTTCGTAGAGGAGATTTTGCTGTATGCAGCCTTGCATGATGCACAGGTAGCCACAGTGTCATTCACCTCCTTCACTCGGCAAGTATTTCCCAATGTTAACTCTGTTGTAGCTGCTAATGTGCCAACACCAAGCCCATAGCAGCTCTGGTCTACCTCACCTCCGACACTCCCTCCCCCATTCAGCCCCACCTTCCTCAGCAGCAAGGGGTTTTCCTAATTGGAGCTTTGATTGTATCGTTACCCTGCCCAGAATCTCTGAGTGACTCTAGCACTGAGTGTGCTGGTGCGAGCCTCTCCCTAGAGCAGCCCCATGTTGCCAAGTCTATGCCCTGCTCTTGGGCACAAGGTCTTCTTCTTATTATTCTTATTTTATTATCATTATTATTTAGATTTATTCATCCATATTTGAAAGGCAGAGTTTCAGAGAGAAGGAGAGACGGAAAAAAAGATCTTGCATTCACTGGTTCACTCCCCAATGGCTGTAATGGCTGGTCTGAAGCCAGGAGCTAGGAGTTTCTTCTGGGTCTCCCAGAAGAGACGCAGGGTCCCAAGGCTTTGGGGTCTCCTTTGCTGGTTTCTCAGGCAGCAGCAGGGAGCTGGATGGGAAGTGGAGCTGCCCGTATGGGCTGCTAGTACCTCAGGTGGAGGCTTAGTTTGCTGTACGTTGGCACTGGCCCCTGTGCACAAGTTCTTACTGCACCCATGCCCTGACCACTCCAGTCTTGAGTTTCTGCCCCCAGCTCAAATTACATGTTCCTGCCTCTGTTTTTAAGGGTCCTGCTTTGCTCATGGCGAGGAGTCCTTTGTTCCCTCACTGACTGCAGAAGTCTCCTTAACCCTTTGTGTCCACCTCCAAGGGACTTCCTCAGGAGCCCTCCCAGCCGTCATTCCACCCACAATCCAGAATCACTCCTTGCTCTTCACCTTGCCGTCCTGCATGCTCTCAGCCCTATGTTCCACTCATGTTGTTGTCCACACTCCATTGAGAGCTGCTGTGTGTCTGCTCCAGCCAGGCTACAAGGTTCTTGAGGCTGCGATTTTACCTCAAGAAAGTGCAAAGTCCTGCTGTGAGGAGCCCACAGCACGGGTGGGGACCTAAGGGTCCGTGAGTACATTTCAGTAGAGGGATGGTCTGTGCCACATCGCAGGCATCCAGTGGAGAACAGCACATATGCCAGCTCTCACGGGGCTCTCTTGGCAGGAAGAGTGTGTAGAAAGCTGGAGCAGGGGATGAGGACTGGCAACCCTAATCTGGGGTTCAATTAACCAACAGGGTGACCCTTGGATCAAGCAAGGGAGGCTGAAGGCCTTGTGGGTTTATGGGAGAAGAGTGTCCCAGGCAAAGGGAAGAGCTGATGCTGAGGCCCTGAAGTGACTGCTGCGGGTGAGGCTGCTGCTTTGGACACGGCCCAAGCCCGGGAGGGGCCAGGTCCTTTAGTTCCACTTCCAGCTTCTCTGTTTCACGATGAAAGACTTATTTACTTGAAAGGCAGAGTTACAGAAAGTTGGGGGAGGAGAGAGGAGACAGAGTGATTTTCTATCTGTTCACTCACTCAACCAGAAGCTTCTTCCGGGTGTCCCACGTGCATGCAGCGACCCAGGGACTTGGGCCATGCTCCACTGCTTTCCTAGGGTGGAACTGGAGTGTCATGTGGGATGGCAGCACCTCAGGCGGAGGCTTTACCCCTAGGCCACAACCACAGTGCCAACTTGGTTCCACCTTCATCTTGACTTGCTTGCCAGTTGCTGGCCATTTATGGCCTTTGAGGATCAGGGGTGCCAGCAGTGAAATACAGGCAAACTTCCCTTGACTGCCCCAGGCCCTGCAAGGGGCAACAGTCCAGGGCTGGGGCAGCTGAAGAGGCTTGTATCACGCTAAACACCCCTGGCGTCCCTGCTCTTCCTCACACCTACAAGGAGGGGCCCCTGGGGGGCGGGGAGAGCAGTCCCCTCCTAGCCAAGGGGAGCTCAACCTCTAGGTCCTGGGTTTGGCTCTGCGGATGCTGCTGTTGATTACACATCCTTCACCGTGTGTGTGTGTGTGTGTGTGTGTGTGTGTGTGTGTGTGTGTGTGTGTGTGTTGGTGGGGCCAGTGTAAGGTTATCAGGGAGCTGCAGGGGGCGGGGGTAGGGCTTGGGACTAAGGCTGGGAGTCTGCTGGGAGATATTCCCTTCTGGGAAATCTCTCAAGTGAGCCTGCTGGGAGCTCCCCTGTGAGGAGGCTCAACTCCTCCTGCTAGGAAGTTCACAACAGGACCCACCTTAGCCTAGTCAACTAGCCTGAACCACACGCACGCCTCTGCCTTGGCCTGAGAATCAGGCTGCCTAGGTGACAGCTTTGGGCCTGGTCACAGGGAGAGACAGGGTCGGCAGTGGGCCAAGCTCGGTAGCTTTCATGTTCGCTGAGTGAGGGGGATTCTTTCTTAATCGCTGGGGCCTTCATTTAGACTAGGGGCCTTTTACTATGGTGCTTGCCATGCTTGGTGCTGCTTCTTACATCCCTTGAACATTTGCCATCTGCTCTAGGCAGCTGGAGCAATCCTGGGGTGTGGCTGTCCTGAGCCAGGCTGGGATTCATGAGGTCACAGTGCTCTCCCCTGAGGGCAGGGCTGTGCCCCCCCCACTCTGGAGGCTCAGTGGATGGTCCTGCCTACTCCTGCTGGAGTTCCTCCTAAGCCCCCAGGCTCTGACCTTGGCTGCAGACACTCAACTTTTGGGCACTCCTGACTTCTCTGCTCTTCTGCCTTCTAGCCCCAGCCTCCAGTCTTCCCCCAGCCGACCTCTATCACTTTCACCAGCAGGTTCTCACCAGTAGCGTCCTCACCAGCAGCGTGGAGCAGGTATGTAAAGCGAGACAGAACACACTGAGGCTGGGATAGGTGATGTGATTGGTGAAAGGGCATGGCAGGAAGTCAGAGCCACATCCCAAAGCCTGCCTCGTGCCTGCCTTCTACCCCTACCCCTTCATCTCATGCCCCTTCCAGTATTTATTGGTAAGTGTTTGATATGTATTCATGACATTGAACTATGAGGCTTTCTGCTGGGACGGGGAGCTGCTCACACTGATAGTAGCACTCAGAAGCCAAGCAGGCTTTAGAGGAAGGCTTGGAGAGGACACAGACTAAATGCAGTGGGTGGGAGAAGGGCGGGGCAGAGCAGGGGGCCATGCAACCACTGCGTGACATGGTGATAGCCATGTCATAGACATGTTCTGTGAGGTTGTGATGGCCACCGCAGCTTAAAGCTTCAGGCCCCAGCATACTGACTTCACTTGAATAGCAGCGTCTGTTGAGCGACGATGGCCGCACCGCCCGAGATGAGGATTCCACCTTTCATCATTCGAAGTATGTGGGCAGTGTCCTGGCGTGGGGGGAGGGCAGTGTCCTGGGTGGGGGGAGGGCAGGTGGCTGGGTGGGGGAAGCCTGGCTCTGGCACGTGGTGTATGGGTACTGTGATTGGCCGTGGGGCCTCCATGGTCCTCGATCCTGTTCTCGTCTCTCCCAGCTGGAGCCTCTGGGACTGCCCAGAGGACGGCCGGCCACCTGTGTCTGTGATGCTTCCGTCCACTTCGTTGACTCTGGCTGCGCAGCTGCGGCCCGCCAGCCCCTCGGGGCCACCGTCTAGGCCGCCACCGGGCCGGCTGAGGTTGGCTGCCCAGCATGGCGTCCCAGCACGCTGAGCCTGTCTTTGGCCTCACCCTTCTCTTCTACCCCTTTTACAGGACGTTCCTGGTACTTCAAAGAAGCAAGGGCACACTGTTATCTTTCCCACAAGGCTGAGGCCACACCAGCCTCCAGTGGGCCATTTGCTTCCTCTAGCCAACTATGTTTCACACCACACAGGCCATTTCCCAACGTTGACCATCTCTCCCTCTTACTAAATTCCAGAAACGCCTGCAAGTCATCTGAGCGACAAAAGCCCCACGAATTTCCCAACAGTCCTTAGAAAGGAGACTCTGCTCCCCCCACACGCGGCTGTGCTCACGTACCACACACATACCGCATACACTTCGGAAAACCTCCACTGAATCCCCCAAAGAAGCAACTTGCCGAGGCAAAGCGCCGCACATGGGGTAAAGCGGGGCAAGTCGGATCCCACTCACTCACTGCTTCAATCCAATCACTTTACTCTTTACTAGAAAGTGTCTCAGGGCGGTGGAGGGCATGGATGTTGAAGTGAGCCGGAGAGGAGAGAAGCCATTCCACTCCAACTCCCTGCCCACGAAGCTGACGCTTCTCCGTTCCTGCTAACCCGATTTCCTTTTAGGCTACCGTTTCCAGAACTGTAGGTGTAAATACAGACGTGGTGGCAAGCAGCGGGAAGCAGCCTAGCGGGAGGGCAGGAGGATCGGAGGGCCGAAACCGGGAGAGCTAGGCGAGGAAACAGGTGTCCAGCACCGGCTTATCAAGAAGCCAGCTGCCGCCTAGCCGACGGCTTTTGTAATCTGCCCCTGGGGGAGGATTCCCAGGATGAGGGCGTTGAGTGGGTGCCAGAGGCCGGGACCCGGGAGCACTGCAGCAGCGCCTCGGAAGGAGCAGAGGGCAGCGCGGCGGAGCACGACCTGCCCTTCCCACGCCGGAGATCGGGACCTCTGGGAATCGCCGGGCCACCTCTCCGAAAGTTCAGGGTCCAGCTCGGCTCTGGGAGGGCAAGGCAGGGGGGCGGCGGGTGAGCACGTGACAGTATTAGCATTCATCCACCTCGGCTCCGTCACCTGGGTCGGCGGCTTGTTGGGTTCGAATGAATGATCCCAGAGGCCGCGCCCAATAGGCAGGCTTGCCTGCTTAATATGCATGAGGCCCGTAGCCAATGGCCGGGCGAGGAGGTTGTTTTAAACGGCGGAGCCCGCTGGCCAATCAGGCGGCTCTCGTGGAGGCAGCTAGCGCGAGGCTGGGGAGCGCTGAGCCGCGCGTCGTGCCCTGTGCTGCCCGGACGAGCGAACAATACAGGTACAGCTCCGGCGCCCGCCGCCGCAGCGCCCGCACAACTTTGCGCCCCGCGCCGCCGCCTGCACGCGCCGCCGCCTCGCCTGCCCTCGCCCTTCCCGCCCCCTTCACCCGGCTTCCCGTTAGGTGCGCAGGCAAGAATAATTCAGGTGTTTCAACTTTGGAGGTGCCTGTGCCGCGCCGCCCGCTCTCGGGGTGCGCCCGGGGCAGCGGGCTGCGGAGGGCCGGCGCGGGCGGGCGGGGTCGGGGCGCCCCGGGACGGCGGCGGCGGACAGTCGATGCGCGGCTGCGGTGCGGGAAAACTTCGTGCCTGGGCTCGGTCGGTGGCCGCGCGGGCCCGCGGGCTGCGCTGCTGCTTCTGCGTGAACATGGCCGTCGCGGAGCGCCCGGCGGCCGGGGAAGGGGGGCGTGGGCCGGCCGCCCCCCGGCTCGTGTCCCGCCCGCCCGGGCGCCGCTGCCGCGAACATGGCTGGCACGGTGCTGCGCTCCGGCGCCGGGCGGGGAGGCGGCCGCCGCGGGCCCCAGCTCCCCGGATCCCGCAGCCCCGGGCGCCGGGCGAGGAGGGCCGGGGGCGCCGCCGCCGCCAGCCCCGCAGCCCGGAGCGTCATGGCTGCAGTGGCGCCTTTGTTATCCCAAGGAGTGCGCCCCACGCCGGGCGGGGGGGCGGGGAGGTCCGCGGGACCCCCCCCCCCCGCGCTCCCGGGCTGCCTGGGCGGGGCGGGGCGGGGTGGGCGGGGGCCGGTCTGCGGGCGGGCGGGGGCCGGCGGGGCCGGCGGGACCCGGGCCGCTTTGTTCGCCTCCGCCGACGCCTGTGCCGGCCGCGCGCGAATCAGCCATTTTAGCGAGCGGGCTTCTGAAGCACGGCGGGCGCCGCCAGCCCTGGCGCGGAGGCTGCAGGCGCCCTGGCCCCACACCCGTGGCTCACAGCCCCCGCCGCCGCCCTCGGCCCCGTGCCCCCCCCGGGGCCAGAAGCGGCGGATTTCAGGGGCACTTTCTTTCATCAGCAGGCTTTTGACAAAATGGAAGGTGAATTATAGGTGTCCGTGTGACCCCACGCGGGGCCAAGTCAAGCTGCCAGCTGCCGGCCGGGTTCCCCGGTGCCCATGCCCTTACCCTCCGCGCTGCTGCTTCGAGGCTCCTAGGCAGTCCAGTTGCAGGCAGTGGCTGCCTGGCAGAATGCTTTAGTTCTGCATGATGACCTTGGGTGTGGGAAAAGGAAAAGATGGCGGGAAGCTGGGGGGTTGGGGAGGCGGGCAGGGACGATGGCATGCACAGCTGCATTTGTGTTGGGAAACTTTGCAGAAAGTGTGCCTGGCTGCAGCTGCATTCCGCAGTGTGGATGCGCATGGCTAACCCTCCCCCTCTCGGCAGTGACAAAGTGACAGATTTGAAGTAACACTGTGTGAGCTACCTGCTTCTTTCCAGCTCAGCCTTGTTGGACAGGCTACTTCCGAAGCCCAGATGCGTCAGCAGTAGTGTTCTTCCCAGTCTCCTGTTTGCAAAGTGCAGTGACTACGGGTTTTGCCTTTTTAAAAAACAGAAACATAGGACATCTGCGGGCAGCCGTGTTGCCAGAGCACAGTGTTCGGTCGTGGCCTCTCTCCCCTTTTGGGGAGCTCTGGAAAGCAGTACCGGCAGAACCCCCCCCCCCCCTTGGGTTGGCTCCTTTTGGACAAGCTGATGACTCTGGAGAAGTAACTTGCAAACCAGCGCACTTCACGCTGGTCGAAAGTGCAGTGCCAGGGCCAGTGAAGCCGATTGCCTTGCCCCCTAGCCGTGGCAGTGGTGTTGCGTGTGGGCGGCAGTGGGCTTCCTTGCAGCCATGTGAACTTGAAGTGTTGGCTGTGCCGTGTGGTTCGTTCTGGTGCTCCGGTCCTCATTGTGGGCTCCTCTTTGCCTTTTCACAGTCAGGATGGCTAAAGGTGACCCCAAGAAGCCAAAGGGCAAGATGTCGGCGTATGCCTTCTTCGTGCAGACATGCCGAGAGGAGCATAAGAAGAAAAACCCAGAAGTCCCTGTGAATTTTGCGGAATTTTCCAAGAAGTGCTCTGAGAGGTGGAAGGTATTTATCTGGTGTCCTCCAGGAAGTTTCGGTTGGAGTTTCCGTTTGGGGGCTACTTAGGTTCCAGGTCAGCCTACATGGGCCGTTTGTTTCCGCTCTGGTTGGACTCATCATGCCTGTCTTTAGAATGGTGTGTGTGTTGTGTCAGTGGCAGCTGTTTCATCTAGGACTACATGGAGGTATCTCACTGGTACTGTTCTTTGCAGACAATGTCTGGGAAGGAGAAATCCAAATTCGATGAGATGGCCAAGGCAGATAAAGTGCGCTATGATCGGGAAATGAAGGATTATGGGCCAGCCAAGGGAGGCAAGAAGAAAAAGGACCCGAATGCCCCTAAGAGACCACCGTAAGAGACTGTGGGAAGGCAGATAAAGCATTTTCTTCTGCTAAAAAAGAGATTTGGGGTTCAAACATGTCAAGATATTCCTGCAAAAGCCTTTGCACTTTGAGCTTTAAAATGCTGTGCCTCCTTAGTGTTTACGGCTGAGCTGAGCTGAGCTGAGGTTGGGGGTTGGGGGCTGTGTAACTCATAGACTGGGAAAGCACCATGTGTATTTCCGAAGCATTGGAGACCTAGAATCCCCGGTTTTGAGGTATTGGCCGTGGTAACATGTATTGGTGGAGAAGTAATGATACGGAAAGAGGTATGTGGGACACAGGAACAGGGCAGGGGTTCTGGTTAGGCTCCCACTTTGGTGGATTCTCGTCTAATGTTACATAATTCTTCCTCCTAAGATCTGGATTCTTCCTCTTCTGCTCGGAATTTCGCCCCAAGATCAAATCCACCAACCCTGGGATCTCCATTGGAGACGTGGCCAAGAAGCTGGGCGAGATGTGGAACAACCTGAGTGATGGTGAGAAGCAGCCGTACATCACCAAGGCGGCAAAGCTGAAGGAGAAGTACGAGAAGGTAGGGCAGCCGTTAACTCTTACAGCCGAATGAGCAAGTTGTAGGTTGGGGCTCGGTACTTGAACTGCTGTGATTGCGTCCCCACTTGCTTTCCTGGGGTGGCGGGGGGGGGGGGGGGCTGCATGCTTGTGCCCTTGGCTGGTCCTGGGCAGGTGCATCTCCACTCACGTGCACTATGTCCCTGTTCTTCCAGGATGTTGCCGATTATAAATCTAAAGGGAAGTTTGATGGTGCAAAGGTGCCTGCCAAGGTTGCCCGGAAAAAGGTGGAAGAGGAAGATGAAGAGGAGGAGGAGGAAGATGAGGAGGAGGAGGAGGAGGAGGAAGATGAATAAAAACAAACTGTGTTGTTCTGTCTCCTTGTGAATACCTTAGAGTAGGGGAGCGTCGCGACCGGCGCCTCTCCTGTCTGAGAGGTGGTCTGTTGCCCTCATTAGGTTTAATTACAGCAAATCGATACGATCACTGTAGTTTTCTTGAAGTGCTCTCGAAGTTGTCAGTGGTTTCCCTGACGTGCCATGGGTGTGTGAAGCACCCTGAAACTGTATCAAAGCTGTACATATTTCCAAACATTTTTAAAAAGGAAAAGGCACTCTTGTGTTCTTACTCTGTGCACTTTGCTGTTGGCGTAACAAAGGCATTTCAAGATGTTTCTGGCATTCTCATTTAATGTGTAAGGTCGTGTTAGCGCTCTGGTTGCGGCCTAGAGCTCCTGAGTTCCCAACTGTACATATAGTTTGTAAAGAGATCAGAACAACGGTGACAAACTTCCGATGCTCCTTGCGTGGCGCTGAGGCAGCGGGGCAGGGGCCGAAGCTCAGGGCGTGCACTGCGAGGCTGGACCCGCTGACACTGCAGTGGGCATCCATTTCCCTTCTGGTTGTCTTGTTTTTGTATATAGTGACATGGCATTCTGCTGCCATTCGTAGCTGTGGACATAAAGGTGGGTCAGCTGGCATGAGAAGGGTTGGGTTTTTGTTTGTTTGTTCACTTAAGTGCGGTAGTTTTCCAACTGTTTGTTTTTTAAAACAAACTCTAGAACTCTTCAGTGTGAGCAAGGTGAAGAGCCGCTGCCAGCAATGGCAGTTCAAGGACCTTCTGTACTTAAACGCATTTTTCAATGTTCTGTTATTTTTTTGTATGTTTAGAATGCGCAAATGGTTTTGAAGTTAAATAAACAGTATTACGTTTTTAAAACTGTTCTGACAGCAGCCTCCTTTTCTGACTCAGCCCTCTGTGTTGCAGCAGCTGCGTGCCTTTGGCTGGCTGGCATCAAGGTGAAGTCTAAGCTCTTGAGCATCTTTGGTGGTTGGCATTGGGACTGGCTACTGTCGAGGTGGATTTTCAGATTCCCACCCTGGTGCCCCGAATGCATTGCTTAACAGCAAACATGTCTTCCAGAGTGTGTGGTGTGTGCCGGCCACAGGCCTCATATTTCCTCGTCTGCTCCTTAGTTCAGTGTCTGTAGCAGAACGTGTAGTTTACCTCAGTCGGCGTTGGTGTGTTCTGCTTCCTGGCAACAATCCTCCCAATTTTACCCCTGCTTCACAAAACGTAAACCCTCAAAGAACATTCTAGGCTCCATGTAAGGTCCTCTGAGCTATGTCAGGCTGATAGGATCAAGCATTTCCTGGCCCCACATGTGACATGACAGGTACAAACGGCCTTCCCAGGAAAGCCAGTGGTGTGTGCGAGTTTTGTACTTCAGTGGTTATGTTAGTGGGTAACATTCTGTGCCAGGTCCCAGGAGTGATGGCTACAGTGACATGTGGTGATGGGATGAGGAAGCGCCTTAGCTTGTCAGCAGCAGGAGCTACTCTGTCGTGAATGAGTTGTTAGTGTCATGAGCACAGATCCAACCTCATGTCTGGCTCAGACAGGCACAAGTGGGTGTTTGGGGGGAGCAGGAGGGGATGCGCTTAACTTCAAGAGAAAACTACAACCTGCGAGAGCTTGTCTAAAGAGCATCTTCAGGTAAGAGGTCACCGTTCGCGGTCCTAGCCTGGTCTCTATTCACAGCCACCTCCCATCAGAGCCTGTGGTCCTAGGGGTTGTTCCTCTGGTTTTCACAAGGGGGGCGGAGGATGGCCACACATTTAACCCTTGGTGGTAAGGTTTCCCCAGAGGCATTCTGTCCAGAATTCCCCTCCTGCTTCAGGCACAACATTGTCACATAGCATCCTGTTTTGGAGTTGCCACGTGACAGACACATTGCAGCAGCCCCTGGCTGGGGAGCTGGGCCAGGCCAGCTGTGCTCTCCCCGTCCTACCTCTAATGCGCTGCTAACAGGTATACCGATCAGGCAAGGGCAAAGGTTGCATGGCCGTTAACTTGGGGTTCCACGGTGGTTAGCAGAAGCGTGGGCAAGTGTCTAGGCACTGAGCAGACAATTCCGACTCTAGCTGGTGCCCGCAGCACAGCTGGCACCTGAAACAGAGCCTGCCTGCTGTGCCAGTGGGTTGCTGTGCCACAGCTTCTCTGAGGTGCTGGCAGTGTCTTGTCGCCATGAAGGCGTAGGGCTCAGTTTGCTACTTCGGGTGTGGAGGACATGATCTTGCAGAGCCAACCTGTTCTGGTTTTGCTTTTGCTTTTAATCCAAAGGACAATGGTGGCTTTCTCTAGCCACTCTGCCCGCCTCCCCCTCACACCCTTCTTGAAGAATGCTTTATCCTTTGGAAAGAATCAGGCTGTGATAGAGCAGCTATTGTCTGTATCCTGAGTGTCCTTGTCACAAATGTATGTGGGGACCTTGCATGCATTCCTTTTCTGTTACAAAGTTTCTTAATCAATCTGCCCAAAAAGTAATCAGTGGGCTGCCTGCAATTGGAAATGCCAAGACTCTGGTTGATTATAATCAGGGTTCTAGAAGCAGGGAGCTCACTGTGTGACAGCAGAGCAGAATTACCTGACATTACTGAGTGGGTATTCTGTATCTGCCTTTTGGTTCTAGAAGTAGAGGGGAAGTTGGCTGTGGAGCCCCATGCCAGAAGTGGGCAATTCGTAAGACACTCATAGACCACTGCTGAGGTAGCCGGGTGTGTGTTATCAGCTAGCCCTGCCTACCAGCGCTCCCGAAGGCATCCTCCTAAATTTTCAGCTCTAAAAGCAAGTTGGTAATGGGGCTGACACTGGCATAGTAGGCTGAACCTCTGGCTGCAGCCCAGCGTCTCACATGGGTGCCGGTTCAAATCCCAGCTACTCCATTTCTGATCCCATTCCCTGTTAATGGTCTGGGAAAGTAGCAGAGGATGGCCCAAGTTCTTGGGCCATGCACTCACATGGGAAACGCAGAAGAAGCACCCAGCTTCAGACTGGCCCAGCCCGGGCTGTTGTGGCCGTTTTAGGAGGGAACCAGCAGGTAGCAGGTTCTCTGTCTCTCTTCCTCCACCTGTAACACTGTGTTGCAAATAAATTAAAAATAAATCTTTTAAAAAATAAAAGGCAGCTGGGACATCATGTTGATAACAGATACACATTGATCATCTCAATAGTCAAAAGGAGTAGTGTAGCAGGTTAGGCTGCTTCCTGTAACGCTGCAAGCACCAGTTTGAATTCTGGCTCCTCTGCTTCCAATCCAGCGCCCTGATAACACACTTAGGAAGGCAGGAAAGGTGACTCCTGTCCTTGGGCCCCTGCCACTCAAGTGGGAGACAAGTTAAAGTTCATGGCTTCAGTCTAGCCATTGGGACCATCTGAATAGTAAACCAGCAGATGGAAGATTCTTTCCATCTGTCTCAATACCTCTACTTTTCAAGTAAATCCTTCAAAAAATAAAAGTGGGCACAAAACATTTGATGAAATCCAACACTTTCATGTTATAAACCTCAACTCTGAATCAAAGGGAACTTAGAAAAATTCACAGCTGACAATGCAATACTGAGATCTCTCCTAAGTTTAGAAACAGGACAAGAAAGCCTGCTTCTGCCCCTATCATTCAACATTCTACTAGAAGTTGCAGCCAGGACAACATGGCAATGAAAAAGAAACATTTCTGGATGGGAAGGTATGAGGATCTTGCTTATAAGCAACCCCAAGGAATTCCCAAATAAAACTTATGTGTTTCAGCAAAGTTGTAGCGTACAAGATCAAAATGCAAGGTTGTATTTCTATCAAAAAGGAACCATCTAGGCATTAAGATAATAATTCCATTTACACTGACATCAACAGATGTGAAATATTGGGGAGTACCCTTAATTAAAAACACAAGACTCATGTGGGAAAAACTACAAAACACTGAAGGAAATTAAAACCATACCCTACCTGGTAGGGAATCCTGTCATCATAACTGCGATGGAACCCTCGCTGAACCATCTACAGGTGCAGTGGATCCATTCAGAGCCCTGCCTGGCCTCCATGGAAACCAACATGCTCATTCCAGACTTTTCTTTAAGATTTATTTATTTTTATTGGAAAGGCAAAACAGCGAGAAGGAGACATAGAAAGGTCTTCCATCTGCTTGTTCACTCCCCAAATTGCCACAACAGCTGGAGCTGAGCTGATCTGGAGCCAGGAACTTGTTTTGGATCTTGCACATAGGTGCAGGGGCCCAGGGACTTGGGCCATCCTCAGTTGCCTTCCCAGGTCAAAAGCAGATAGTCTGGATGGGAAGTGAAACAGCCAAGACATGAACCTGTGCCCATATGGGAGGTTGGTGTTTGCAGGTGTAGGATTAGCTTGTTAAGCCACTGTACCAACCCCCACATTTTCTTCCTTCCTTCCTTCCTTCCTCCCTTCCTTCCTTCCTTCCTTCCTTCCTTCCTTCCTTCCTTCCTTCCTTCCTTCCTCCCTCCCTCCCTCCCTCATTTGAGGGTCCAATACAATAGCCTAGTGGCTAAAGACCTGATCTTGTATGTGCCAGGATCCCATATGGGCACCAGTTCTAATCCCGGAAGCCCCACTTCCCATCCAGCTCCCTGCCTGTGGCCTGTTAAAGCAGACAAGGATGGCCCAAAGCCTTGGATCAGCTTTGGATCAGTTCAGCTCTGGCCATTGTGACCACTTGGGGAGTGAATTAGTGGACAGAAGATCTTCCTGTCTCTCCTTCTGTCTGTATATCTGACTTTCCAATATAAACAAATCTTTAAAAAGATTTATTTGAAAGGCAGAGTGAGAAGGAATCAATCTTCACCTGCTGCTTCATGCTCCAAGTGGCTGTAATGATCTGAGCTCAGGAGCCAGAAGCTCCATGCGGATTTCCCAATTTCCCGCATGAATTGGGGCATCTTTTGCTGCCTTCCCAGGAACATTAGCAGTAAACTGGATCAGAAGCAGAGCAACCAGGACTTGTGGGATGCTGGTGTCACAGGCAGAAGTTTAACCCATTACACTACAACACTAATCTCTTTCTAAATTTCACTTGGAAATCTCAGGGAAGCAGGTTGTTCAAGAACAGCCTTGAAAAAGGAACAAAGTTGAAGAATTCACAGAATTTTATTATTTTAATATTTATCTGAGATACAGATACACATGAAAGTATGTATCATCTGGTAGTTCACACCCCAAATATATGCAGTGGCCAGGGCTGGGCCAGGTCAAAAGCAGCCACTGGGCAATTCATCCAGTCCTCCAACTAGCTTAGGTAGGCTCTTTTTTTTTTAAAAAAAAAGATTTATTTTTTATTATTTTTTTTTTTATTGGAAAGGCAGATATACAGATAGGAGAGACAGAGAGGAAGATCTACCGTCCGATGATTCACTCCCCAAGTGAGCGCAATGGCCGATACTATGCCAATCCGAAGCCAGGAGCCTCTTCCGGGTCTCCCACGTGGGTGCAGGGTCCCAAAGCTTTGGGCCGTCCTCGACTGCTTTCCGGGGCCACAGGCAGGGAGCTGGAAGGGAAGCGGGGCTGCCGGGATTAGAACCGGAGCCCATATGGGATCCCGGGCATGCAAGGTGAGGACCTTAACCACTTGCGCCACCGCGCCGGGCCCAGGTAGGCTCTTGATTACTTGAGACATCACTTCTGTATCTCAATGTCTGCGTTGTTAGGAAGGTAGATTCAGCCAGAACAAGGAGTCAAACCCAAGTACTTTTTTTTTTAAAAACATTTTTAATAATCATTTTATGATACAGTTTCATAGATCCTGGAATTTCCCTTATTCCCCTCAATTCCCTCCCCCATCACTGGGTTCCCCTATATTATTACTATAGTATAGTTCTTCATATCCAGTCATATGTTCATCATTGCAGGCCTGGACA